GCCAGTTTTGTTTGTTGTTATTTGAGCACCACTTGTGCTTTTTGGTGAATCTTGTATTTGTCATCCTTTTTTATGATAATTTATGATAATTTATAAACTTTCATTCTTTATATGCTATATACCCTATAGTAATTAGTCTTTTCTATTCTCGTTGTGCTTTCATCATTTGATGGTTAAACATTGCTAGCCAAAATAAGACGTTTGAAGACTCAAAATTGGATTTATTAATTCTAATGAAATTAGAGTTGGGGAGACACCAAAAGATTTTCAAAAAGGTCAAAGTAGATTGAATACTTCTACGATAAGGAACGTTTATCACTACCACTATTGACATCAACTTTTATGTTTTAACTCATGTAATTCCAACATGTATATTTTTGTTGTTGTAAGAGTTACATTGTTTTTTCTTTTTATTTGGATTTATAAGAGTTTGATCTAACTCATCCTTACAAGATCGACTTGTAAGATGAGGGATTCCACTCAATATAAACTATTTTAAGACTCTATGTCTAACCAATGTGGGACTTAAGATCTTCCTAATACACCCTTAATGCCTAACACTCTTTTTTGGTTTGGTGTGTGGATATTAACACTGGGTGGCCCATGGTCCAATCAATAGGCTCTAATATCATATTAGAGTTTGTTCTAACTCATATTTACAAATCTTGCTTGTAAGATGGGGGTGTAACACCTTAAACCCCAAAACTTATATAAAAATAATTACTCAACAATTTAAGGTGTCACCTCAATAACCAATTGAAAAAACTTTCAAAAATATTTAACAACGTGCAGCAGAAACTAACATAGTAACAACTTCAAATTTAACTTCTCAAGTAAAGTATTAAACTTTAACATCACAATTCAACACCAACTCAAAACGTAACAAAAACACCTCATTCCTGATGTTACAAATCAAAGCATTTAACTGACTAAAAGCGATAAACGATAAATTAAATGAAGATGAGCTCCAAGACCATCTTCCAATTCACAACTACTACTCATGTGCCTAAGTATCTATACACATCGTACATCAACACATAAACAAAACAACAAAAAGGTGATAATACACTTAAATATGTTAGCGGCGAAAAACATTATGAAGGGTAGCCTAAACAACAACAACAACAATCATTAACACGTAATGTAGTCACACAATAATCATTAATTCACAAATGCCAACTCGTATGCAATATGACAACACCTCGACTCTATATAGGTGTGGTACCAACTCAATAATGGTTCTTCATACGAACTAGGTCCCAACATCTGAACCTTGACCCCCCTTATTTAAGCTCCAGCCAAATCACTAGTCTTATTATCTGAACTTGTGACTCGCCTCTTTCACAACAACGATAACATATGATGTATGACATAATTATACTTGCACTTTAGAACACATATACACACATCTAATAAACATCCACATAACACTCAATCATATTGATTCATATCATTAAACACAACCAAACAAAAACCAACAGTCGCTGGAATCAGATACCTACTGATAATTCGAGTCAAAATGACAAATCTGGGTTGTCACGCTTGCTAAGCAAGATTCAACTCGCTAAGCGAGAACCAAAAACTAGAAAATATCACATTCTGTCATAGATCGCTAAGCGAGTGCCTTCCTCGCTAAGCGATGTTCATCCTCATTAAGAGATGTTCATCCTCGTTAAGCGAAGCTTCACCCTCACTAAGCGAGGTTGCGCAAAATTGCAACAAAAGAAACAGGAACGTGATTCCACTATTGAAGCCCTATTGGAGCTCCTATTTTGATCCCCAGCCGCCCAATTCGAACAGAAGACAACATTTATAAACCATACCATGATTAATAAATCGTATACTCACTTCTTAAATGCCTAATTCATCACTTTATAAGGTTATGCTCATAATACAAAAAACATACTCAAACACATCAATTAACAACAACAATTTACAGATTTCATATGCTTTCATCATGCATCAATTTGACATAATACAATACCTGAATTTCACACAACAACATCAAGCAAAATAAAATGTACATGTATTCATAAGCAATAATTCACACACAATCAACAATAACAAAATAAGAGAAAACCTAGAGGAGAGAGAGGGTCCCTCTCTATCCTTCATACAATATACACCCATATTAGAGTAATCTCCCTTTTACCTTGGATTTCCAACAAAGAAAGCTCTACAACAATGGTGATCTCTCCCTTTTTCTAAAGGTACATGGAAAATCAGGAGGTGCTATCATCCTTACTCAAATTAAGTACATTAGAGATTTACTTACAAAAGTCAACATGACCGAGGCCAAAGGTGTTAACACTCCCATCTTTAGTCAATACAAACTCAACAAACATGGCTCAGATCTCATGATTGATTCACATATTTACATGTCACTAGTTGGAGCCCTGCAATACATGACTCTAACAAGACCAAATATAACGTTTAGTATTAACAAATCATGTTAGTTCATGGCCAATCAACTCCACTCATATTGAAGTGTTGTCAAACGCATACTACGATATCTAAGTGGAATAACGCAACATGGAATCCTCTTGTAACTAGCTGACTCTACACCTCACATGTCCATTAGAGCTTATATTGACTCTGATTGGGCTAGTGATCCCGATGATAAAAGGTCAACTTCAGACTCGTGTTTTTATCTTGGCGATAATATCATATCGTGGAGCTCTAAGAAATAGTCACTCGTTACCCGCTTGAGTACATAAGCGAAATATCGAGCTCTCGTACATACCACAATAAAAATTCTATGACTTGAGTCATTACTAACTGACCTACATGTGCAATATTAGGTTCCAACTCTTCTTTGTGATAATATCAGTGCAGTAATGGTTTCTCATAACCCAGTTCTACATGCAATGGCCAAACACATAGAACTTGACATTCACTTTGTTAGAGAAAGAGTAGCAGATCAAAGGCTCTGCATCTAGCATGTTCCAGACATGGCTCAAATTGCAAATGCTCTCACCAAACCTCTCTCGTGCAGTCTCTCCGATTCACCACCCACGATGTGTGTGTGTGTGTGTGTGGGGGGGGGGGGGGGGGGGGGGGGGGAGGTATTAAAAAAATGATAACTTGTGTAAGGGTGTGTGTAGAGAGAAAGTTAGTTAGGATCCCTAACTAACTCCTTTAATATGTAACCAACTCTTCTAACAAACTTTAACATCTATAAATGCACTCCATGCAAGTTCTCTCAAGATAATGAACATAGTTCTACTTTCTCTAATAGTATTGTAGCGTTCTTTTTTCAAAAGTTGGAAATGTTAATCCATATTTCAACTTGAGGGAAGATGGATTGTTAGAGTTAGTTGTTATATTTGTCATAAATAATTATTAGTTAATTAATTTTACTACAAGTTCGTTAAGATTTGTTAATTGATTACGATTATCATATAAAATATATCATGTATTTATTGTTAAGATGATCTTACACAATTTATTTATCTCTTAACTTATTTTTCTTTCTTGTGCTTAATCACGCTAAAACACGAACACTTCTAGAATTAAGTGTGTCACTATATCTAATTTGTACCGGTGTACAAGACTTTTTTATCCTCTATTCCCATAAACAACACAAACTCCCATTTTATTCCTTCATATTCCATAAACCCTAACTTTTGTTTTAGAGAAGAATTATATATATATATATATATATATATATATATATATATATATATATATATATATATATATATATATATATATATATATATATATATATATATATATTATTCTAGACATTTCAAAAGACATATCTATACATCAACAAAATGTTAGAATTCGAAGTCACGAGCAAACCACTTTTTAATATGATTGGAAAATTCAAGTTGTGCGCTATCCATTACTATGTTTCTAACATCTACTTTTACATTTCTCTAGAAAAACACCAAATACTAAAATTAAAATGGCCTAACACCAACTAATTAAATTTTACATACCTATCAATTATAGATATTATAACATACTTATATTATCAAATGTATCCTACCTCATCTCTAAGCTCTTACATCCTCTGATCAAGTTCTAAAATAGTCTAGGTTTTCTCAGTAATTACAGTTAAATATTATACATACATTTGCATTTTCCATACTTGTTCTTATATTAATCTATGATCAGAGATTCTACAATTATAAATAAACATGCACAAACAGTTGAGCATGCACATGCTAAATGATTAAGTGCCAACCTCGTTTTGCTGGATGGATTTTGTTATCTAAACACAAACTACAGATACCATGTAGCAGTAATAATACTAACAATTGTATGATCATATTCTTGGTAATAAAAGTAAAATAAAATAACTAAAAGATAATACTAATATAATTAATCATTCATTAAAATTCAAATCAATGAACACAAACAAGTCGGTGGATAATAATAAGAAAACAGAAAGCTGAGGAACCAAAGCATGCATTTCACCTCTCATGTCACACATCCCTAGACTAGTAGAGGTGACTGATATGAAAAGTCAAGCTTTATATATAAATATATATTTATAAATAAATATATAAATATATAAACTTTAACCTTTCTATATACAGACTCTTTTGTCATCTTTCATAAACTTCATCTCATGAACCAAATCTTGGAATCCAAATTCTTCTCTTTTTCACTCATTTTGCAATTAGAATAATAATACCCTCACATGCAAGCTTTGTAAATAAATAATTTTTTCCACTTGAAAAGATGAAAGGCCTAGTCTTATCTTTTTTTTTCTTTTCTTTTCATCATCAATCTACTCAACATCATCACTACTGAGTTTTCGAGTGATCATGTCTTGTATATAGTGAAATGTACTTGTTTCAACTATTGCAACCTTCTGTTCCTCAGCTTTCTGTCCCATCCACCAATATTCCAAAACGAATGTGGGACTCAGTTTGGTTTGCTTCCAATCAACCAACCAGCACTCTTTCTCTTTTTTCACTCTACTAATAATTTTTCTCTCACTGCCTCTTCTGGTAAATAACAAGAAAATAAAAGTTGGTTTTCTATTACCTGCAATGCACATGCATTCAAATTGTCAGAATATCTTAATTCTTGAATTCGTTCGTTTTTAATATTATAAACGAATGAATTCAAGAGTTTATACATAAACGACTCTTTGAAAGTGTTTTTTTTTATATTGATTGCACGCATTATAAATCCAAAAAATATAACTATTGAAATAACAATAAAAATCAGAGACATGAAAAATATATTTAGTCATGAATATTTAAAAGCAAAATGAATAACAAATATTGTATTTTTCTGTCTCTAAATTTTGTTGCTATTTCAACTTTTTCTATGGTAAAGAAAAAAATGAAAAATTCTTAAACATGTTTCCCTCACAAGACACACTTCAAATGAGATGATATAAGAAAGAGCCAAACATGACCTTGAATAGTATAGCACCACCACCACCAAATAATACTAAAAAGCAAGATTGAAAATTAGGTTTTTTTGTGAGGAAGATAAGATATTGATTTCTTCAAGGTGCATGCATTTAAATTCTAGGTCTTGTTATCATAATAACCTTCTTTTATTTGGTTCTTCAAATGAGTTGTTGTTGGTATTGTTGTTGTCACCTGACCAGTCAAAGAGATGAAATGCATCTAAACTCTTGGATTGATGATCTCTCTGATGAATAATATCATTGCTTGAATTACCACTAAACCCTTGATTAAACAATAGGTTTAATGGATCAGCTTCAATTTCACCTAACTCAGCAAAAAAATCCTCATGACTTTGATTATTTTCCATCAAACAAGGTTTATAAGATAGTGCATCATTGAATTGATCTCCTTCTTCCATCTCAATTCGCAACTTCTCTATATCTTCCATATTCTCTTCCTTCACACTGTTAACAACGGGTGAATCATTTCCATCACTCTCTTGATGATGTTCTTCTTTTGGCTTTGTAGTTGTTGTTGTGGTGTCATTTTGTGGTTGAGATGAAGCTTCTGTATTTTTCATGGAAGTATTGTTTTTGGATGGTTGAGATCTTGTTGAACCTGCTAAAGCATTTCTCTGTGTTGGCCATGGATGATTGTGTTCTGAAGTGTAGGTTATAACTAACATGTTTGGGTCAGTTCTGCTTCTCTCAACTTGTTTCCTGGCAGAACAACCCTTTGAACTGCTGCATCTATAATAACCCCTAATAACACCAAAAAAATTTCAATAAGAAACCTAAAATTCAATGAAAAAATATGTATTTCACTTAAATTTAAACTAAACCAAGTTATATGAATGAATCTCAATAGATCGTGACAGCAAAATCACTCTGACACTTACGATATTTATCACATAAAATAATAGTAAGGAGAAGAAAGCTTTCTTAATTGAAAAAACTAATTAGCCTGGTTGTTGGTTTTAAAATCCCAATGTGTAGCAACTAACAATATTCAATGGTGAAGCTAGAAATATGGAAGGAACACACTAGTACATTACAAGGAAATGATTTAATTTAAGGTAAAGTCAAGTCAACATGATGATTTAATAACATTAAGAAGCTAAGCTTCAATGTATTTTTAATGCCTAAATTATGTACTACTAGTACTTGTTAAAAATTATTACCAACTAATTTACCTTGGATAAGGTGAACCTTTAATGGGTTTCTGACCATACTTTCTCCAAGCCCATAAATCTGAAGGAACAACTTCACCAGTTTGTCTACTGTTTGCAGCTGCTGGTGCAGGAATACAAACTACCTTTTTTGCCTGATTCTTCCTACAATTAATCATTACATCAAAATAATTACTTACCATTTCCTACTATGTATAAAGAGATATAGAATTTAGAAAGAAAAAAAACTATAAGCTAGGTATTTTGTAGATCAAATTCAAAGGAATAGGAGTTTTCAGGTGATTATGGAAGAAAAGTAGTTTTAAGTTTTACCATAAGTTGCTTGAAAGGTCAGTTTCTATGACAAGAAGCTAACACTACTTTTCAGGTGAAATGAATTTTTAAAAGCTATAAAAAGACTCAAAGAAATTAAACCACATGCTATATGGTCTTTATATTATCATGAACTCATTAATAGTGCCACATGAATATAGTCAAAATTTTGTTCAATCTCACAAGAAAATGAAAGAAAGTGCCTAACTATTGCCAAACCCTACTTTCTCTACAGTAATTCAAAAAAGTGATTAATTCATGAAATAAATTATAGTAATTAACATATGATGGAGAAGCAAAAATTAATGAGATGAGATGAGATGACATTAAATATTATATTATTTAATGATATCTTACCTTCGTTTAAGGCCTGTATTATTCCTTGAAGATGAGATCTGAACTGTTCCTCCTGTGTTGTCTAGAAGAGAATCCTTAGCATTAATATTGATGTTGGTAGAAACAGCAACAACAGGTTTAATTTGCCTTGGAGAAAGTGCCATGGTTGAAGAAGAAGATTCATACTTTGTTGCATTAGGAGAGATCTGAATCATGTTTGAGAATATGTTTTTACATGGCCTTGAACCTGATCTCATCATCTCATGTTGATTGATCAAGTGCAAAAACAGAAGCAGAAGCAGAAACAGAAGAAGATGATGAAGTAGTAACACTAACACCAACACCAGAAGCTGCAACATCAATTATACTAGTTGGGATGTTGAAATAGGAAGAAGAAGGTATATGATCAAGCTCTTGTAAAAATGGATCTCTTAAAGTTGAGAATAATGGATCACCAAAGATGTTCATATTCATGTTCATGTTCATGTTCATGTTGTTGGTGGTTTCTGATCTGTTCTCTTCAAGAATGGAATTAGAGAAATTCATATGATGCCACTGATTATCATGATGATGATGTTGTAAAAGAGGTTCAGAAGATGATGATGAAGTTATTGTACTATATGCTCCAGCAGCAGCAGTAGCAGTAGAAGTAGCTCTGATTATGTCAGTTAAATCACCTTGGTAATTGTCCATACTTGTTGCTGATGATGATGATGACACAAAGATACTACTACTACACATAGTTATATGAAAAACAAGAGTTTCTTGTTATTCATGTTTTGAAGCGCACATATATAGGTATTTTGGGTTTTGAGGAGGAAGAGAAAAAGCAAGTTAATAAGGGGACAGGTTTGAAACTGAAACTGATTGTTGTGTTGTTGATAAGAAAGAAACAAAAGAAAAAGAGAAAGATGAGTTTATAGAAAGAGAAAAGAAAGACGCTGACTTTTCACACCTCCATTCCATACGCAACATAGAGAGAGAAAGAGAGAAAGAGAGAGAGGGAGATAGTTTATTTAAATAACATGAATAATTGGCAAACACTAATTAAATAAACACATCTGCAGAGTGCAGATTTATTAATCTATACTTCCTCCGTTTTACAATGAATGATCTATTTCAATTTTTAATATATTTTTTTTAATTAATATAAAAAATTAATTGAATCACTCGTTATAAGACAGAAAGAATACTAAATATTATTATTATTTATATAAATAAGGTATATCATTCTGCAATTTACCAACATTTTATTATGATTAAGGGTCAAAATTTTGTAGTGTAGTGATATTTTTCTTTTATAGGTAAAAAGTAAGTAATGTTGGAAAATGTACTATTGAAGTTGCATGTGTAAGAAAGAAGTGATGAATTATAGGGAAATCAAATCAAGTGTTATAAGGAAGTGTTTTGAGTAAGTTTAGAAATAAGAGGGAAAAAAGAAAAGAAAGAGGAAAAAGATGGAAGAATGGTGATTTGAAGATAACAATTGACAGGAAAGAAAAGAGGCGGCAAGCAGGCGTATTTTGCGGAGAGACGTTTCGAGCCATTCAATAATCAGAAATCTTCTAAATTTTCTTTTGATAATAAGCAAAGAATGTTTTAACATGCCATGCCACCTATCTATTTATGTATCATGTTCCTTCAAAACAATCATGTACTACTACTATATACATGCCGCTTAACAAATTTTATTCAAAATATTCATTAAACAATTAATGGCATAGTAATAATAATAAATTTTTTTACTAATTGTTGACTGTGAAATATATTTTTTATCAATAGAGTTTTTTGACAAGTAGTCTAAAATTCGAGTTAAATTATTTATATTTTAAATTAATATGTTCAAGTTATTATGTGTTGGTCAGTATTGTTTAAATATAATTAAGTTTCACTGCTATAAATAATAAATTATATAATAAAATGTTTACCTCAATCAACAACAAAAATTGAGGTAAAAATCAGATATATGTCATAATTTAAATTTTTTTTCAATAAGCAAGCTTTATTGAAATAAAGTACAAAGGATACTTTGTCATGATATAAAGAGGTCAAAAAAGAGACATTTCAAATCAACTCTAACTTTATTAGAGTTAACAAAGACGAATTATACAAAACTAAAAAAAATCACAGTTGGATTATGGAATATTTTCTATTATCGATCATAGAAGATCTTGAACATTACAAACCACTTTGTTAAACAAAATATCGTTTATGTGTTTCCAATACTCTATATGGTAGTCATCCATACAATTTCTTCTTTGTCCACTATCGTCTTTTTTCTTAAACATCATCTCCAATTGTTGACGCACATCCACACAAGGCCACTTAACCTCGCAGTAACAGATACCATATTTTTATCCTCCTAGGATTATATCCTATTGAGATTCCTAGAAAAGTGAACTCATTGTCTTAGGTTTTGCAAGCTAAAAAGTTTGTTGCAGCTGCTAGCAAATGTTTGCTAACATTAATGTATATTATTTCGCTTTTGTCATAATTAACACCCAAACCCGATACAATTTTAAAACCTGTAAGAATTGCTTTTATGCCCCACATGTTTTTCCATCTGCCTTATGTAACACCCTAAAAACTCCGACTCTTCAATTTAAAGTGATAAACAATATTATTCTCAAACAAGGTGCTACACATTCACATCATGCATATTCTTCCAATCAAAACAGCTTAACATGCAACAAAAATTCAACATTTAACAACAATATTTTAAATTTTCTCTTCAAAATAAAATACTTAATTAAATAACAATTCAAAATATTCAACTCAAAACAATAACAAAATGACTCATTCCTAGTGTTACAGATTAGAGCAACCAAAAACTAAAAAACATAAACGATAAATAAACGAAGAAAATCCTCAATGCCATATTTTAACTCACGACAACTATCGCTCCTCCTGAGTATTTGTACCACAATGTACAAAACACCGCAAACAAACAAAAGAGGGATTAAAATACGCTCAAATATATTAACGGTGCAACAACAACAACTAATTCACAATGCCTTTATGTATGCAATGTGACTCACAACTCGACTCAATACATGTGGTACCAATTTGAACATCAGAGGTATTTACTGATCTTGTCCATTCAACAATGGTTCCTCTTCGAACTGGGTCCCCACTTCTGAACCCCACTCGTTAGTGATCCTCACTTCTGAATCAGGCACTCTTCATTGATCTTCATTTCTGAATCAGTAAATTATCTTAGGACCAAAGTCCACACAACAATCAATGAGACATATGATGCATGACATATAAAATAATGAAATAACACTTATGATTCCACTTCTAACCATACACAACATCACATAAGGTAATCATAATGTTCTCACTTTGAACTACATATCTCAACATCAACAACATATAATTATAACTCATCATATAAATATGCACACATTTCACAACATACATTCATCTCAATAAAGTGTTCAATTAACACTTAAACATATAAGTTCATTTCATTAAACACGACCAAACAGTAACCAATAGTCGATGGAATCAGAGACAGACAGATAATTTGAGTAAAAAATGAAAACTCTGTGTTATCACGCTCGCTAAGCGAGAACCAAAAACCAGAAAACATCGCATTCTGTCACAGTGCGCTAAGCAAGTGTCTTCCTCGCTAAGCGAAGTTTATCCTCGCTAAGCAAAGTATCCTATAACTGTAAAAATTAGAAACGTGATTCCACCATTGGATCCACATCGAAGCTTCGATTTTGACCCCCAATCACCCAAATCAAACATAAACCAACATATACATATCATACCATGATTAACGCATCATACACTCACCGGTTAAACACCAAATCTATCGCTTTATCATGAATTTAAGGTTATGTACATAATACCAAAACATGAACGAAAACTCAATCAATTAGCACACGCAAACGCACATGAAAATCAGTAATCAAACCATGCACGAATTTCATATTATTCACAATAATTACAATATTTTTTACACAAATGTTTCCAATAAAATACATAAACATCAACAATGGTGAAAGTAGGAGAAAACTTATAGGAGGGTGAGGATATCTCTCTACCCTTCAAGTATTTGACACCAATATTAGAGTAACCCCCCTTACCTTAATTTCAAATAGCATGTTTCCAACTTTGGTTATGTCTTCTTCTCCCTAGAGTTCTCCTTAGGGTTCCTAGCTAGTTGCCTTTTTTCCACTTTTCTCAAATTCTATGTATTAAATAAAAGTTTCAATCCCTTACATTATCTACATAAATGACCTAATTATATTTTTCATAATTCTCAACGTTCCCTCAACTTAAGGGCCTTTACTCCTTACCACACTAATTTCACCCCATAATTCACTATTTCTATTATTTTATTATTAAATAAAAATTCATTATTTCTATTATTTTATTATTAAATAAAACCCATTAATTCCCAATAAAACCCAACAAAATACGTCATAATTCATACAATTCAAATAAAGCATTTTAATTACCCAAATGATTAAATACAAAGCAATAAAAATTTAATTATTCAATTTCGAGTCGTTACACCCTCCCCTATTAACATCGTTTCTTCAGAGAATTGGATTAACTCTATTGACACTCCCTCATTGAATCTGAAGACTCTAAAATCGTCCACTTTTGAAGCCTTCCTAACTAACCCTGACTCAAGCCTATACCAACCTCAAAGTCCAAGGTTGGGCTACCATTGACCAAAATAGACATGTGGCTAGAGAAAATGCAAGCCTCCATCCAATTCATCCATTGGCTCCCAAACCTCATTCTCTTCATTTTATACCTGAGAAAATACCAACTGATCCTATCATACGCCTTTTCAAAATTCACCTTGAACATTAAGAAATCCTTCTTTGATCTTGTTTCCATGTCCATTATTTCATTTTCCACCAAAACATTATCTAAAAGATGTCTACTTGGAACAAAACCTGACTGACAAGCAGATATCAAAGATCCAAAGACTCTCTTCAACTTAGAAGCAAGCAATTTTGATAAAGTTTTATAAAGGCATCCCACTAAGCTTATGGACATGTGCTCCTCCAGACTTTGGGGATTAGAAGTCTTAGAGATCATAGTTAGAAAGGAATATGTAATGGCTTTAGATAGGGTAGCCTTAACATCAAACTCCTTTACAAACCTGATTATATCATCCTTCAGAACTTGCCAACAATTCTTGATGAATACGAAGTTGTATCCATCAGGATCGAGTCTTGTTGATCCTTCACAACTCCAAACACCCTCCTTGATCTCTAGGTTGGAAAAATGGGCCTCCAAAGAATACACATCACTCTGAGATAGTGTTAAGGGCCAAATTGTGCATATTTTTGGTAGTATTTTGTGGCCTTTTCCAATTGTTTCTTTAATATTTAAGTAGTAAATCTTTATGTATTAGTATAAATACGCAAGTTTTTTATTATGCATGTAAATATCTTGAATCATGATCATTTTGATGCTTTTTGATAGGTTTTCTTACTTGATTTGATGCTTGGAGCATTTGAAGGATGAAAGGAAGTTTTGAAGTGAAAGTTTTCAACAAATTGAAGGCAACTCGCGCTTAGTATGAGTTCAACGCGCTTTTGGACCAGAGGCAGTAGCTAATGAAGGTTAACCATGCTTAGCATACTCTGGCCGAGTTTAATGCACTTTAATTTTTCCACCTTTGTACGGATTGCGCTAAGCGTGCTCTAATGGCGCTTAGCGCAATGCCACTTATAAGCACCTTTTTGAACTTGTATAAATAGGCACTT